ATGAGTTCAGTATGCTCAAGAGAAAGTTACTCAGTGCTATAGGGCTGGGGTGGGGGGCGGTTTGCCCAGGACTATAAAATCATAACCTGAATTCTGTTCTTGTAACAGTGGCTGGTTTGCAGCTGTTCTTTCTTCCACCCACACACAGAGTAATTCCATTTTGTTTTCACATCTCAGGACTCTTTCACAGAACACTATCCAGGGAAAAGGTGACATGCTACCCTCCCCAAAAAGGAAACCACATCTGTAACTAGTTCTCTGAACACAAACAACTGATACAAGCTGACTGACAACAGACAATTTAAGCTTAACAATTCCCTCTAGAATCTAAGACAACAGGTGCATTTAAACAAGAAACAATATGCTCTTTCCAAGTCAAATTCTCCTTCATTAAAGCCAATGGGATGATACTCTCATAATTTGGGTTCATTTCTCATATTGAGCATTTTTTAAAACATGATTTACTGAAGGAAGCACAACTGGCTGCATTCACACAATTCACAAATCTGTTAAAGCCTGGCTTACAAACCGAAAGCAAATTGCTTAGCCCAAACGATGAACAGGCGAGCACATTATGGCTTCAGATAGAACCACAAGTTATGATGCTAACATAGCATCATTACATCAAACCTATACTAATGCCAACAAAGAGGGAAGTGAGGGATATGAGTAAGGGAGAATGATCTAATTGGGGGAGTGGTTAACCATCCTCCAGCAATCCACTCTCCCTTGAAGAAGACCTTCAGCTAGATAGCAATACCAGCAATAAACCCTGAGTGGGAAGAGAAAGAAAGGCAAAGGAATGTGGGAGGAAGGTTTAACTACATCCGGGTCCTCCCATCTGTTGATTTTTCTCTGCAGATAAACCTCTTCTCTGCATTCCCAAATACTGTAACCAGAAAACAGGCATTTAGGAAATAGGTTAAAAGGATAGAAAAAGAAAGGAAAACATGATTGAGGATGACATCTTACCTGCTTCAGAGAGCAGGCAGAAATCATCA